ATGCAGTCTGATCTTATGTTTTAAAAGTCCAATGATTTAAAAAAATAGTTCAATGATAAAAAACTATATATATATTCATTTTATCACATCTTAGAGGCACTGCATTTTTTCACAATTTGAACATTTGTGGCAAATCTGTGTTAAGCAAGTCAATCAGCACCATTTTACCAGAGCATATGTTCACTTCAGTCAGTTTGTCGTACTATGGTGAATTGTGAGTTGCTGTGATTCTGAAAGCTATGCACAGATATTTTAAATACCAACAGGGTTACCCATGGTGGACAGGTTTCAGATGAGTTTCTAGGCAAAGTCTGACTAGTAAGAAAGCGGATGAACTACTTCTGAATATTTAGTCACTGAAAACCTTATGAATAGCAAAGAAACACTGTCAGATATAGCGCCAGAAAATGAGCCCCTCAGGTTGGAGGCACTCAAAATGCAACCGGAGAAAAGCTGCCTCCTCAGAGTAGAGTTGACCGTGATGATGCGAATGGAGTAAAGCCCATGGGAAAAAAGCCCACGGGACCTTCATTTGCTGATGGAGCACAACTCAAAATGAAGAGAAATAGCTGTAAACATCCACTGAAAATTGGAACATGGAATGTACTAAGTATGAATTTAGGAAAATTGGAAGTTGTTAAGAATGAAATGGAATTCATAAACATCGATATATTAGGCATTAGTGAGCTGAAATGGACTGGTATTGGCCATTTTAAATCTGACAACCATATGGTTTACTATGCTGGGAATGAAAAATTGAACAGGAATGTTGTTGCATTCACTGTCAAAAAGAACATATCCAGATCAGTCATGAGGTACAACGCTGTTTGTGATCGGACAATATCCATGCGCCTACAGGGAAGCCTAGTTAATACCACTATTATTCAAATTTATGCACCAACCACTAAAGCCAGTGAGGATGAAATAGAAGAAATCTATCAACTTCTTCAATCTGAAATTGATCAAACATGCAATCAAGATATATTAATCATTACTGGTCATTGGAATGCAAAGGTTGAGAGCAAAGAGTAAGGATCAGTAGTTGGAAAATATGGCCTTGGTGATTGAAATGATGCTGGAGAATGCACAATAGAATTCTGCAAAACCAATGATTTGTTCATTTCAAATACCTCCTTTAGACAGCATAAGAGATGACTATACACAAGTACCTCACCAGATGGAATACATATAAATCAAACTGACTACATCTGCGGAAAGAGACGATGAAAATGCTCGATATCATCAATCTAAACAAGGCCAGGGGCAGACTGTGGAACAGACCATCAATTACTCATATGCAAGTTCAAAATGGAGCTGAAGAAAATGAAAACAAGTCCACGAGAGGCAAAATATGACCTTGAATATACCCCACCTGAATTAAGAGATCATCTTAAGAACAGATTTGATACATTAAACACTAAAGACCGAAGACCAGAAGAGGTGTGGGATGACAGCAAGAACATCATACAGGAAGAAAGCAAAAAGTCATTGAGAAGACAAGAAAAGGAAAAGGTCAAAATGGATGTCAGAAGAGACACTGTAAATTTCTCTAAAACGTAGAGATGCTAAAGCAAATGGAAGAAATGAGGAGGTCCAAGAGCTGAACAGAAAATTTCAAAGATCAGCTCGAGAAGATAAAGTCAAATATTACAACAAAATGTGCAAAGATCTGGAGGCAGAAAACCAGAAAGGAAGAACAC